GGAGAAGGGGGCAGGCTCCACCAAAAAAAAAAAAAAAGAAAAAGGATCAGGCCCCTCGCTGCTTCTGCTTTCAGCAGGTGTCTGTAGCTGCCAGGATAATAACATATATACAGAGACAGAAATTGAAATGGTGAGGTTTGAATTAAAAACTCACCACTTCAATTTAGGGGGCACAGAATGCAACCTGCGGGACTACACCCTCAGCATGTGTACAAGAGCCCAAAGAAGGTGGCTGAGAAACACAGACCACCTAATTGTAGGCTGCAAGTTCTGAGGGCCTAGGTAGAGGAGGTGAAGTGTCTACTTTTGACTGGCATGGAGAGACTGATCAGAAGGCCTAGACCAGGAAACTGGTATTTCTTAGTAGACCTCTCACTGTCCATGATTTCCCAAGCTAAACTGATTGGGAAATCAAGGATTTTTTAAAATCCTAAGATGGGGGGTTCCAAACGCCTTCCTCTCTACTCTGGCACCATTTAAATCTCAGACATCAGAACTGCTCTGGGTCATTAGCACAGGAATAGTACATACCACTTTTGTTCAGAGATAACCTCCCACCGGACAAGCACGCTCCTGCTCACTCCAGGGGACATTCACCCCCATATTTGCACATCATCCTCTGAAACCTGTCTTCTTTCCCACATATGCTGAGCAAACACTCCACCAGCAATATTGCTATTGCCTCAGATCTACATCCTTTCACTGTCCGGAGCAATGCTGCCAGCAACAGGCTTTTCTGGCTTCTCTTCCACTTCCCAGTGGTGAAGGCTGCAGGGTAGGACTAGACAGGACTTGGTGAAACAACATCCTCCCTCTCCTCCTTCTCCCCTGACCCACCATGGGATTCCAAATCCTACAGCTATGGGAGAGGGGCCTGTATATTTTTATATCCTTCCCACCCACCCATCCTGATGTAGCTCCCTTAGGGTTACCATGCATCTGGGTTTTCCTGGACATGTCCTCTTTTTGGGTCCTCCCATCTCTGTCTGGATGTTTTTTTTAAATATTAACAAATGTCTGGGATTTTGGTCTGCTCAAGCACTGAAGTTTTTCTTGGTACTTCCCAGCTTGCCCTAGCAAGGAGCTGCTTGGGGTGGTGGGGAGTGGGGGAGGGCGATTGGAGGCAGGGGCATCGCGTGCATCTCTGTGTGCACAGGAAAGTGGCCAGCATGCAGCCAGACAGGGTGGTGGAAGCAGCCCTGGCAGCTGGATGCAGGTAAATCTATGAGAGGTGTGGGTTGGAGAGCCAGGGCTTGGGGACTGTTGGGGTGGTGGTGGTGGTGCTGTGTGTGTGTGGCAGCGGCGTGTGAAATGATGACCCCCCCGACAAGTGTCTTCTTTTTTGAAACTCGAACTACGGTAACCCTAAGCTCCCTAGTTTGTCTATCCTCCCCAGCAGCTCTGGAGTTGCTGGCAGTGTACACTGGGTAGGATAAGAGATGCTTTGCCAGAGAGTGGGAGGTTGGTTTTTATTGTGGTGTGACAGAGATAGAGACAGATGCCGCTATACTCTGAGATGTAATCTGGCTCCCTGTCAGGGACTGTCCAACCTTTATTACTGTACAGCTCTTGAGTGGGTGTGGAAGACCAGGACTCTGTGATCACTCCACGTTTTCAGAGAAGACGGGGTGGGATGTTGCAATGGGGCAGTGAAGAGCGCACTGGAATCTCAGAGGGCAAATGTGCATGTCTGACAGGCACGATTTGGTTAGCGGGAGGGAAGGAAAGGGAACAAAGCTGCAATGCAGGCAAGTTCCAGCAGATGGCTGCCTCACACCACACCAGAAAGCAGATTCTCACTGGAGGCCAGCTCCATCTGCCTATCGCCCCTTTGGTGGGAATCAGTGTTGGGTCCCTGGACCAGGACCTGCAGGCAGGCTAAGAATTCCTGAGCAGGAGGATGGAAGAGAGCAGGCTCAAAGGAAAGAAGCCAGATGCAAGTTAGCAAGCCTGGCATGCTGGCAAACAGTGGGCAGTGCGAGGTAGCACAGAGTGTGGACTGACTCAGAGGCACAGCTGCTATTTCACTGAAACATCCTGTCCTGTGCTACCCAACAGTTATCTTTAACAGGCCTGTTATGGGCTTATTAAACAGAAAGGAGGAAAGAGACTCCTGCCAAATATACTGGGCTGTGCATGGAGAGTAGAGGGGAAGGGCCAGGATCCTCTGATGGAATATTTTCTTAACACTTCAATCACTTCCCAGAGCGAGGCAGGGCTGGGGAAGCAGCAGCCATCCAAGCAGAGGGCAGAGCCTCATAGCTGAGTAAACTGGAAGTCAGTGTAAGTCAAGGCCCCTACAGATCCTTAGGACAAAGCACAGATTCCCTCTCTCTGCATCCTTAGACTCCCATTAGAGTTCTCCCTCCTCTTCCTTGGAGCTTAAGGCATGTGGCATATGAACAGGAAATTAAATCACCGGTGGACCTTTGAAGTACAGTGGCTTAAACCAAGCTTCTGGTATGCCAAACCAACAATTTTTTTAAACTGATAGTCTGTAAACTTCTTACAGATAACCAAACTTTTTTTTAAGTGACACGTGTTTTTACTGATAGATGTTTTATATAACTTAAATGTAACTTTTCTGCCAGGCCCTGATTTGCTACTAGGCTCCAGTTAAAAGGGCTGTGTTCAGATTTAGGAGTTTAACACCCAGCATAGTAAAAAAGTTTGATTGTCAGCAAAAAGTTTCCAGTAAAAAATCTTGGGTTGACAAACCTGAT